TCCTGTGTCTAGATTTGATGTGTATTTAAGAAGATAGGCACACTTCCTAGAAAATTAGTTTTGTCTTCCTTTTTCTGTGTTAGAAATCTCATAGAGGCTGGGGAAAAAATATTTCAGCTCCATTTTAAAAAGAAATGGCAAAAGAAGTAAAGAAAATTTCAGAGGAACATCTGGAGCTTAGCCCTCATCTTGACACACTTCTCTAAGTTTGGCCATGACTCACTGTTCTGGACATATATTCTGGACATATAAATGTGATCAGTAGCTGACAAGGGATGCTGACTACTATAAGATTTCAGAAAAACAAAAAGGAGATTTCAGTTAGGACTCTGTGGCAATTAGTGCTTTCCTTGATGCAGACCTTGACTGTATCAAGCCAAACTAAATGCACATGGCATGTGTTTAATCTAACAGAATTTAATCAACAGCTAAAAATTTGAAAAAAGAACACAATTAAAAATTTGTGTTGTAGCGGTGATGAATACCAGGGAAGCATCAGGTTAGCAAATCTGCTGCTCTCATTGAAAATGAACCAGATCTCATTTTGATAAACGATTTTGATAACTGTGAATATGCTCCAATATTTTGTTATTAAAAATGGGTATGTAGGAAATGTACTGAAGTACCCTGAATTTGGGTTCTTGCCTTTTTGTTGAAGGATCCTGAACCCTGTTGAAGGTTGTTTTGAAGAAACCAAATACATGTATTCCAGTTTACAAATAAAGCCACACAATGTTTGGAGGACTGTAGAGTAACACTGCAGAAGCAGCAGGAGATGAGAGTCCTGCAACCATCAAAAGGCTGTTAACAGATTTTCATACACACAGTAATTCTATTGCTGAGTCTTCTTAGAGTTATCCATAAGAAAATTAAAACCGCATCCCATGGTACATCAGAGCTTCTCTCATACTGTGTTTGATGTTAGCAAGGTTTGACAAGGAGTTTCCTTCACTACATATCCCATTAAATTTTGATCATTACCTTAGTCTTATCCTAGTGTTGACACCAGCTGTCAGGAGTAAGCATACAAAATGTTAAGGACTGCAACGTAGAGAAGATCAGACATGATCCAATGGTTTCTATCCAAACTTTTATGTCTGGCTTGTTCCTGTGGACAAGAACTCTAGGCAATACAGGTACCCAGAGACAATAATCAGGGGTCATGTGAAGGAAGGAAACACAGATGTACAGCAATTTCTTATTTTTTTTTCTTTTTTTTTTTTTTTAATGGATGAAAATATTTACACAGGAATGAGTGAAGAGAAGGAAAAAGGTTCATAGAGGCAGGAAGGACATAAACCATGCAGAGCCCAGCAGACAATGGTAAGAACTTTGGTTTGATATCAAAGATGAGAACAAAACAATGAAAGTGTCTGAGAAGTGTTAGGAGTTTTTCTGAATGATAAGCAGGGCAAGATGAATTCCAAAGATGGCATGAAATACGTGATAAGAAACCAGTACAGGCGAGGCATCAAGATGAAAGGCATAACAGGGCAGGCAGGGGGAGATGTCTCTGAAATAAGGTTCTGGATATCCAGGATGGGTATTTCCATCATGTTGACATGGAAATTTAGGGAAGAGTCAAAGGTTAAGTACTCTCTACATAAGTATAAGGGACAGGAAAAATACTGAATCTGCCAACAGTTAAAGACAAGAGAAAAAGGGCTGGGATATCCTTGACACCAAGGGAGTTTCTTTCAATCATGATAACACTAAACTTTCCAAATGCCTCTGAAAATATTTGTTGAAGCATGACTTATCGTCTTTCAAAAACACTTCTGCATTCCAAGTGATAATACAGTTAGAGTCCTCTGCACAGGTTTCCATTCTGCAACCGTTTTTGAGGTGACTAATTCTCATGGAATTTCAGGGGATTTGACAATATAAATACCTTTATTTCATTTTAAAAACCTGCTACCTTCTGTTAATGAATACATAGAGAACATGAAGGCATGAAAGAAATTTTTAGGCTAATACCCACAGTGTTTGTAAAATGTCTATGGTTAGAATAAAAATATATAATAGGTATCTGAAAGTGTTTTAACATTTTAGTTTCATGGGTGTTTTTTTGTTGTTTCAGGAGGGAAGGTGGGTTTATTTTGCTTTGGGGTTTTTTATTCTCTGTACCTGAATCAATCTTTAAATGTTCATTTAGTTAGGAGTGATATGTATCTTAGATGTTATTTAATCACTTCCTCTACCAAGCCATGTTATTTTAAACAATTGGTAAATGAATCACTTCCAGAGGTCTCTGCAGAATTGAAGATTAATACTGTTTTCTCCAGCATGAGACACTCAAATTTATCCTCTAGAAAACAATAGAGAACACTGAATATACTTCTGGGAATATGCAAGCAATTCTGTAAAGTAAGGGGAGGTTTACATTACAATTGCCATATAAAATTCAGACAAGTTAAATCATGAAAGCCAAACCAAAGCAAAAACAATTTAAGGCAGGTGAATGTCAATGCCAAACAAGAAAAAGTGAAATTGCAGCTTGTCTGAGTGAGTTCAGCATAATGGAACTGTGTACATACAAGGGATTAAACATGAGGGAAGAACCTCAATGTGAACAAAACTGAAATGAAAATTGAGCACTATACTGACTAAAAGAGAAGATGGAAAAGGCAAGCATATCTGGTAGCAAACATTAACTATAGCAGATGTGATTGCCATTAGTTCTAAATGCATGTTAAATTAAAGGCAACATCTGTTGTCACAGAGATGGCCTCAGTCATCTGAAAAGAAAAGTTAATTTGGAAATCAAAACTTTAGAAAAGGATTAAAGGCAGAGTTTGGTAGAGGTAGAGGAGCCTGATGTCTGCCACAGCAAATGATAACTATGGGCAAATGTTCACAGTCCTGGATGGTCATTCTACAGCTCTGAGTGAGTTGTGTTAGAGCAGCTGGTGAAGGTCAACAAAACCTTTTAAGGATGTAAATACAGGATTCAATGATTTGACTTCTTTTAAGACAATCAAAGATGAGCAAAGTAGATGCTGGTGACAAATGCTGAGAGAAGGAAAGCAAAGTCACAGAGATTTCTAAATAATGACTAGCATTTAACTCTGAGCAGCACTTACAAGAAGAAACTAAATTATTATGATACTAGGCAAATACTGGGACCTAGAAAAAGCAAAGTACTGAGAACAAGTCAAAAGTTCAATTGCACAGTTACCAAGGCTGGATGGAATTTCAGAAAACTGAGCAAAAGGATTTCCAAACTGATGAAGGGATTACAAGTACTAAAACAGACTGTAGGAACTGCCATCAGAGAAATCACAGAGAAAAAACTGTGTCATCTAATCAAAGTGCTGAGGAATAAAAAAATTAAGTGGAGGAAACCTACCTGGCTGTGACTTCTTAGACCTGTTTTTGTAAACTGTTTTTGCATCAAGTAAAAAGACTTGCAAGTACTTAGCAGCAGGAAAATATTACAATAGAAGGGGAAGAGTGCCAGAACTATTAGTATTTGGTATCCTGCTCTTCCCATCACATCATCAGTTACATAGTGGCTATCTAAATTTACTTTAATAAATAGAATGCTGAAATAACTTTAAAAAAGCAGTTATAGCAACAGTCATAAAATATGAATTAATGTGTAGATCTAAGAGTTTATTTCTTGTTTTGGGTCTTGTTGTAGAACATGAAGTTCAATTTTTTTTGGGCAGACTTAACCACCCTTAAGCATTGAATCTGTGTTTTTGAACACCCATCTAACTTATTTCTAAAACATCATACAGATTTAAAGCAATCTTGCTAAAGTTACAAGTCTAAAGTAACAAGTTAGGTGGCTTTTTTTAGTGAGGATCTGTAAGTTTAAGTAATTCTCACCTTTTAATTTTGCTGTAGTAAAGTTTAAAGTTTACAACAATATAAAACTGAAGTACCTATAGTTTCCTGTTAAATATTGTACAGCAAGGAAATTATTAGATGTAATGAGTCAATGAGACCATGTATTCTTAAGCATTTGTTACTTCTGGGATAGCATGCAAGAATTGCAGTGTAGATGCTACTATAATTTGCTTGTCCCAGCATATTGTCATATCTGCATAAACATCATCCATGCAATTCAGCCCTTGCAGTTTAGAAATTACATCTTTTTGAAAGAATGGTGTAATACCTCCATTAGAGAAATCTCTTATTAAAACCCTGATCTTAACTACTTGGGAACAGGGGTAGAGGATGTAAGTTGTAATGACAAAACTGGCTAGCTAGTGTAATGAAGGTGTAGATTACTAAAGAAATTGTACAAAGCAGGGTTCACTGTGGCCATTTAAAAATATTTTATGTTGGTAGTAAGTATCTCTGTTTTGTTTTGTTGTGTTGGCATAGAATCCTCTTGTCATTAGCAGCTATTTCTTGCCAATATATTGGTTTATGAGTTTTCAATAATAAAGTTCTTTCCCATTTTTGTTGACTGAGAGTTGATGTTTGAATGTTAAGTAAAAATTCCTTTACTCTTACAACAAGATAGGAATATCTGAAAAGACTATTACACCTGGGGGTAGAAACTATCTGCTAACCTCTCCATGCAATAATCACTACCTGGAGTATATATTTGAAAAGACAAATGCAAGCTAAGCCATGCAAACATGATGCTGCAGTTTTGTTCTAGTGCAAAGTCTCCTATTGTCTTCCTAGTATGTTTTATTCGTCATTTTCATTGTTCTCCTGATAAAATTATAAATGCTATTACACAGTAAACATTAGAAATTTTATCCCAAATAAAATTAGCTGAAAAGAGATTAGTTTCATTATTTAAACAAAAGAAATATTGCTCCTGCCATATTTGCTTCTGGAAATTGAAAAGTGAAGATGGAATAGGGGATAGAAAAATGCTGGAAATTTTCCCTCGAGTTTCAACCCACTTGGAGTTGAAAATAAACTTTTATTTTTAAAATAAAATTTTCTTAAATAATGTACTTCAAATTGTTCACTTGTAGCATTAGCAACTCATTTAAATAGCCACATTGTAAAAATGGTTGGTCAGCAATGTATTTTAATGACAGTTCTGCTCATGAGAAGTGCAAGAGATTGCTCCATCAATAAAATCAGAATAATTGCCATGTGTAAATGACAATCTGAGTCCATGTGTATCAAAGAAGTCAATAGTATTGGAAGAAAAAGGAAAAAAATATTGTAGCCAATGAAAAACACCCTAAACAAGATTTAGGAATTGTTCTGGCCAGAGATTCCTTTGGTATATAGGTAATTTCAGCTGTTTACCTTTAGATTAAAAATGTTAATAGTGGTGTTTTAAGAAGTCAACACTAGATACTCCAGCAATCCTCACAGATGTTCATGCTTTAAATAGGAGAAGTAATGTCATTTCTACAAAACAAACACATAATGGGAGGGAAAGGAAAAAAAAACTCCTCCAAGATGTTAAAATGTAAACACAGGCTCTTGCAGTAAAGTACATGGAAAATTACAGTGAGAAATGACAAAGTCAGATTGTATGCTATAAAGAAAGAGGAGTGGATAAATCTGTTATTTAACCCTGAGGATAACTGTCTTAATTGATGAAATAGTTAGGAATGTAAAGCTGACAGAGGAGATGAACTACTCAAAGAGAAGGGAAAGGGGGATACATGAGATGAAAAACTAAAGCAAGAATTCAAGTCAAAAAACATCTCTAAATTTTGTGATTGGCATATGGACTCTAGAAAAACCTCTGCAGTTAAACAGAAGACATTAAGTTCAATGATCAAACTGGAAGCCATTAAAAGCAAACCTGAAATCAAAAGCAAACTTCAGTTCAACTGTCTTAATGGCAAAGGAGACATGGCAAATTTCTCATTACTTTGCATTTTTATATCATGACATAATAAGCTTGCTTGTTCCAAGTTTCTGGACTGTGGGTGCTGACCCCACCTGTTTCCCCTGATACAGAGAATGCAATCAGGGAGTTGTGAAGCATTGAAGATTTACTGTGCTCTTCCCTACTCCTTGTACACCCTTAGTCTTCAAGGTCAAGTAACTTCCATCCACCTCTTAAAGCTTTCCCAGATTACATAGATTTACCATCACCAATAATACTTACACTATTCTATAATAAATTTTGAAAATCTGACTTAAATGAAACCTAAGAAACTGTAGAAGGGCACATCCAGTTCAAGTCACTGTATTTAGTGATGGAAAAGGGAAACAAACATATTATACCGACTAGCTGATGAAATTCTGTGTTGCTACTGGCTGTGACTGTGTTTTAAGTAACTATTTCTAATGAAAGGAAAGCTTGGAACTTTTCAGGAGGAATAAAGCCTTCTGTTTGGTCAGGAATTAATTTTGTACTTGGCTGTTACTAGCATGTTATTACTTCTACCCTGGACTATTTTTGTGGGTAATGACTGCTTTTGCTGCTTCTGTCTTAATTTCTCCTTTGACAGTAAATGATGTTTCATATGCTGTTTGGATTACTTTTGTGTTAAGATAATGATACTGAAGTCAGGCTGTAGACGCCGTTTGTTAAAGATTCAAACAGTAGTTTATTTTTAAAATCTCATAACTTAAATTCACTGATATAATAAATGCGCATGATAAAATCTTAAATTAGCTTGCACATAGTGCAACTAAATGTAATGGGATTTTCAAAGTTTAAATATTGTATCTTAATCCTGACAGTGAAAACTTATAATTACATTGTATATCCTGGGAGCTTGTTTATTACGAGTTCACTGATGTCTTTGTACTCATTAGGACCATGTAGTTTTTCCAGAAACTCGTCTTCTTTGTCTGACATGCTGTTTTCCAGGACACTAAGTTCAAGATCAGACATGTTAGATGGCAAGTAAGAGCTAACTTGAGCTACTGACTGCTTTTGACCTGTAGAGGTCTGCCCCTTTCCTATATTCAGATCAGTATCAGATTTAACCTGTTTGCTTCTCAGTGTAGATATTTCTTTAATATGTTGATCACCTCTGTTCTCTTCCTTACTCATCTCTTGGGCTTTCTGCTCTTCATCTAATAATGATGCCTCCATCTCAGCAAGGTTAAGTGAATCAGCAGATTCAGCACTAGTTCCTGTGCTGGTTTTAAAGTCACAGTTTCTCCTCAAAGACTGGACTGGAGATGAAGCTGAAGGAACTGGCACAAGATCTGAAGTACTTTGAGCTCTTTGACTTGTCTTTGAAATTCTGGACCTGCTGGATTCTGGCTCTGTATCTGACCTATCTTGCTTCGGTCTTTCAAGCCACAGAGGTTCAGGACTGCTGTCATGAAGTTTTGAGTCTCTGCCTGTACACTCAGCACTGGTGAAATCTTCTGAATAAACTGTGTTCTCCGGACTAGCAACAAAGTCATCAGAGTATATGAATTCAGAGTTGTTTTCAACACTCCTGCTGGGACTTAGTTTATGACCACTTACAACAGACACATCATCAGGCTCCATGGTTTTACGCAGTCGAATTGTTCCTGGATAGACTTGCAATAGATTGTTTCTGCAGGCCAGGGGACACATCTCCTGCAACAGAAATTGGCTCCGAGAGAGCACTGTTTTCTAATGAAGTCTGAACAGTTTTATCCAACTGATTATTCTGCTTTGATCTGCCTCCCGTGCTACAATGCCTGCAAGACACCGCATGCTGTTCTTCAGTATTTCTGACCAGCTTTCTCTTGGATAAGGGGCTTCTCACTCTCAGCATCTCAATTTGCTTTTTTCTGTACTGCTCCCTCCTTTCATGAATTATCAGCTTATCTGGGTTGGTCTGCTGCAGTCGTAGCCTCAGTGTATTTGTCAGCCCATACAACAATTTCTTTCTGGGAGGTCTATTCTCCTTAACTTTGCAGTTCTTTTCACAGGCTGGCTGTCCCTGGGGCACAGCTTTCTTGGGTCTGCCCCCAACCCCTGAAGACTCTGGTGAGATGGCCTTATGACAGCCCTGTTTAAACTGAGGCCTCGTGACTTCACTGCTCCTGCCAGGCTCCACAGGTGTCTCTGCAGGCTTGACGGCAGTGGAACGACTGGGGGACCGCGAGGCCGCCTCCCCACTTTCCGGGGCTTGGTAGGGCCAGGCAAGATGGGGGTGGACAGCAGCAGCAGCAGGCACAGCGCTGCGTGTGAGCACCGCCAGCTCCGCCAGCAAGGCACTGAGTAGCGGCAGCTGCACCAGGGTGTTGTGGAGCTGTCCCTGGCTGGCGGGGTGCAGCAGCGAGGGCCCAGCACTGGGACGTGGTGGGCTGTGGCCCTTGTCCTTCTGCTGCGGTCTCTGGGGCTCGACATGCTCCCACTGCCCCACTGTTGCTGGCTTCTGCTGAGGCTCAGCCGGCTCACGGCTGTAGTAGAGCAGCGGAGGGCAAAAGACATTGCCTTCCAGCTGCTCACTCTCCTCCTCTTCCTCCTCCGCTTCCTTCTCCTCTTCCTTCTCCTCCTCGTCGTCTCGCGGTTCAGGGGTGCTGGCAGGCGGTGTGGCAGCGCGGGGGCTGGCGGGACTCGCCTCACCGGCCTGCAGGCTGCTGAGGCGGTAGCTCAGGACCAGCTCCCCGACGGGGCGGCCCGCGGTGTCCCGCAGAGCGAAGTGGCCGCGGCGGCCGAAGGAG